AATGGACCATGCCGGGTCGGGTCAAGTATATACCAATTATAGTTATGGACTTAGACACTAATCCAACATAGACACACGTCCAACCAACATTGTCACTTCCTCCACCTTCATAAAAGAAACTCCAACACCAACTAATTTACTTTTCAGTAAATTAATCTTGAGCCTCGAGGCTAGGAAAAAATGCAAAGTATGCATATCATTCTCCAGAGACCACCCAAAAAGAAAAACTACATCATTTGCATAAAAATGAGAAACCTCCAAAGCCTCCCTAGCCACCTGGACTCCACGAAACACATTAGACATATTTACTTGATGCAACACCACATGTAAGCCTTACATAGCTAAAATGAATAAGAAGGGAGACAACGGATCACCCTATCAGAGACTACACTAAATAGAGAACTCATACGTGGGAGACTTATTTACTAGAAAAATCATCTACTCCTCCAGGTACAATGAGAATGCGTGTCTCACATAACCTTTTATTAAGTTCTTTAAATGATTTTTCATGGACGTCGATCCAAACATACTTCAAGTTCTTTTTGGTAATATTCATTAAGAGGCTTGTAATCTTTGAGAAATTCTCAATGAATGGTAACCTGCCAATCCATGAAAACTTATCATCTTTGTGTGGACTCTTTGGTGATTCTCACTTCATAACAACTTCAATCTTTGATAGATCTACCTTTATTCCATATTTATTTACTACATGACCAAGAAATTGTACCTTTTCGATCCAAAACTCGCATTTTGAGAATTTTGCATACAATCTCTCTTTCTTAAACGTTCCAGGTACTAGTCTCAAGTGTTATTTATATTATTTCGTTGACTTCGAGTAAATAAGAATATTATCAATGAGTGCTATCACAAATTTATCAAGATGTGGCTTACAAACCTTATTTATAAGGTCCATAAAATTCGCGGGCGTGCTGGTTTAGCCGAAAGGTATCATGAAAAACTCGAAATGTCTATATCTAGATCGGAAGTTCGTCTTATCGACGTCTGCATCTCCTACTATCAATTGGTGATAACCGGACCAACGATCTATCTTTGAGAAATAAACTGCTCCTTGCAATTTATCAAAGATGTATTTAATCATGGGTAAAGGATACATATTCTTAATGGTCACTTAATTGAGGTCACGGTAATCAATACACATTTTCATCGATCTATCTTTCTTCTTCACAAATAAGTAGGACTGTTCACTATTTGGATAAAACCGAATTGTCCAATTGGACAATTTGGATTGGACAATTTGGTTTGGATAATCGGATCTTTGGATTAGTTTTTAACAAAACCGGATTATTATTTTGGATTGGTTTTGGTTTATAAAATAAGAACCGAATAGTCCAAAAAAACCGAATAAACATTATTTATTTATTTATAATATATATCTATAGTTATTTATTAATTTTGTAATTTATTTTTTCAAATAGGTTTAAAACGGTTCACCTGATAAAAAAACATTAATATGCATTTACTCTCAAAAGTTTTTTATCTGTAAAATATTTAACTATAATATATCTTCTTATTAGTTGTTTATAAATTTCAAATCACAACTAAATAATTTGTTTTCGCTTCTTGTGTAAAGTTGAGTAATATTATAATTGTATGTCGTTTTAAAATGTTTCGGTTTTTGAAAACTGAATTATAAAAACCGATCCAACCGAATTGTAATTGGATCGGATCAGATCAGATTTGATTTTGGTTTGGACTATTCGGATCCATGTTTTGAAAACCGAAATCAATTTGGATTCACTTGATTGAATCGGATCAAACCGATCCATCCAAACGAACACGCCTACAAACAAGATTAGTGTTCTCCATGGTGAGGCGCACGGTCACACAAAGCCATTGTCTAACAACTCTTGTAATTGTGTCAAGAATTCCTTCAATTTTGTAGGTTCTAAGCAGTACGATGCTTTTGCAATTGGTGCAGTTCCCGGTACCAAATTTATGAGAAATTCCACTTGATAATTCGGTGGAAGTCCGGGAATATCATTGGGGAAATTCAGGAAAATCTTTCACATCGTCAAAGTCTTTTGTTGGTTTATTATCTTTGATTGTATCCACAATGTATGCCAATAGACTTGACATTATTTATTCAAACACTTTCATACCTTCGGTACATTTATGACACTTCTAGCAACTCTTAGTTTGTCTCCTTAAATAGGAAAAAAATAAAAGGAATCAGAATCTAACCAATGCAAATGTTGCTTCTTAATAAAACCATTAAGAGGTGAAACAGGTCTCCACAATGGAAGTTTAGCAGTTGATGAGTGAAAATTTACACATAAGGTCTAGGGTTCAAACCTCACGCCCAAAATATCGTTAGTGTTCCGTGATTGACCTCCAATGTAGGAATTGAGACGAATTGACGTGGACCACTCAAATTATATGATTTACCACTTTCTTTTAAAATGTGAAGCAAACAACCTCTTAATTTTTGTATAATCTAGGTGGTCCCTATAATTACTTATTTTATTAAATAACAAAAAAAAGGTAAAATAGAGGTATTTTGAATATCTCATATTTCTAAGTGAGTTACACGATAAAACCAAATTTGATTTGGAAACAATAAAGACAATCCATATAGTATTTGACCAAATGTTATTCTTAAATTAAATCACTATTTAAAAAATAAAATAAAAAATAAAAAATAAAAAATAAAAAAATAAACATAAAAAAAAACCATAAGTCCCCATCATAAAATTTTGTATTTCTTTAAATAGTTAAATTACTTTTTAGGTGTTGTAAGACAAAATTTTCAAATACTAACCTCTATTTTTAATGATAAAATGTATCCATATTTCCTTTGTACGTTTCCTTTCACGACACGCACGCGGCTACACCCACCGACGCTCTCAGATCCCAAACCAAATTCTCAATAATATATATACTTGTTAAACCGTCGTAATCCCAATTTCAAGTCCGATTATATCAAACAAAGGAAGAATCACAACTACAACTGTCACAGATCTGAGCATTTCGATTCAGATCTCCGATCAATGGCTTCCGGTTCTTCCTCCTCTTTCCTTCTCATCCTCGTCGCCTTCATCTCCTTCGCCACCGCTGAAATTCGTTTCACCGAGATCCGATCGGACCCCCGACCAATCATCCCCTTCGATGAATTCGGTTTCACTCACAATGGCAGACTCGAACTCAACGTTTCCAAACTATCGTTCTCGACAGCAGACCCTGACCTTTCCAAATTAGGTTTTTTTCTCTGCACGCGTGATTCATGGCTTCAGGTTCTCCAACAGATCGAAGACGCGGAGATAGCGTGTGCGCTTCAATCCAATATCATCAAAGAAGTTTATAATTTGAATTCGATAGCGAAAGATGCGAAAGGTTTTGATCATTATTATCTCCAATCGGATGCCGATCAGTATACTCTTGTGTTTGCTAACTGTCTTCCTCAGCTTAAGATCTCAATGGACGTCCGATCTGCTATGTACAATCTCGATGGCAAGTCCAACACTCGCGATTACCTTTCTGCTGGAATTACTGTTCTCCCAAGGGTTTATTTCTTGTTCTCACTCATTTACATTACTATGGCAGCAGCTTGGGTTTACTTTCTGTACAAAAAACGTCTTACTGTGTTCGGAATCCATTTCTTTATGCTTGCTGTTGTGGTCCTGAAAGCATTGAACTTGGTATGTGAAGCCGAAGATAAATCCTATATTAAGCGTACTGGTAGTGCCCATGGATGGGATGTTCTGTTTTACATTTTCAGCTTCTTGAAAGGAATCACATTGTTCACATTGATTGTGTTAATTGGGACTGGATGGTCGTTCTTGAAACCCTATCTCCAAGACAAAGAAAAGAAGGTGTTAATGATTGTGATCCCACTTCAAGTCGTCGCCAACATTGCTCAAGTTGTGATCGATGAATCAGGGCCATATGGGCAAGATTGGGTGACATGGAAGCAGGTATTTCTACTAGTCGATGTTGTCTGTTGTTGTGCTGTTCTATTCCCCATTGTATGGTCAATCAAGAACTTAAGAGAAGCAGCTAGAACAGATGGAAAAGCAGCTGTTAATCTGATGAAATTGACCCTCTTCAGACAATATTATGTTGTGGTTATATGCTACATTTACTTCACAAGAGTTGTGGTGTATGCATTGGAGACTATCACTTCGTATAAGTATTTGTGGACTAGTGTAGTAGCTGCAGAGTTAGCCACTCTTGCTTTTTACGTGTTCACTGGGTACAATTTCAAACCAGAGGCTCATAATCCATACTTTGCTGTTGATGATGATGATGAAGAAGCTGCATCAGAGCAATTGAAACTTGAAGATGAATTTGAACTTTGATCTGGCTTTCTTCTTCTTCTTCTTCTTCCAGGTTTGTTTAGGAATGTCGCATACAAATGTTGAAATCTGTTTCTATACTATTACAATTACAACTATTCTTGGTGTATGATGATGTATCTGTTACAATGATACAGTTTTGTAAGTAGTCTTTATTTGTCATGTTCTTTGTTCCATTCATAATACATCACTCGTTATTGTTTTGTGTTGTATATGTGTTGAGGTGAATCTTGATTTTGAGAAATAGAGATGTGGTCAAAGGGTAATATTGTCTTATCTTGTATATGGGGATGCTTGTTTTCATCTTCAATGACAATTGTATTTGTTGGAGAACCACAACTAATCTCATTGGTTGATCAATTTCAATGGTTCAATGTAATGGACATAGTATAAGGGTTTGATTGGTAATGATGGGATGCAATCACAAATGAATTCAAACTTGAAACATGTTTTTTATATATAATTAGAAAATTAGATAAATTTCAATTAATAAATAGAGAAATGAACTATGGTTTTTAAAAAATGAAATTTCATGTTGTTTGGAATAATATATACTATTGCCATTATAAATTGTCCAAAAATGAGGTTCATTTTTGGTATAACAACTAGTATTTTACCCGCCGCGTGTTGCGGCGACGGTAACAGGTTTAAGAAGCAGTAGAAAGTTAATTGCTATCTGTTGAAAGTAGACGAAAAGGTTGTTTTTTTTTGTTTTTTTATTTTTTTTATATATATTTCATTTGAGTATAAACGTCTTCTAATACTACAGGTAGCATTTTTGATGAAAGAAAATGTATTTCTAGTGTTGGTAGAAAACATATTAGTTTACATGTATTAAAGTAGTTTGTTGTTTTTGTACTGATATTACATTCACTTTTTTGTTGTAGAAAAAAGTGCATTGCTATTGGTTTTTGCAAATATATATATATATATATATATATATATATATATATATATATATATATATATATATATATTAAAGAAAAATGATGCATGTATGTAGTTAGCAGTAACTGTAGTTACTGATATGGGTAAATAGGATAAAAGTCAGGGATCAAATTCATGCATAGAAACTTAGGAGGACTTAAATTGTCAGACACAAAAGTCAGTGGTCACAACTATGCCAAGAAAATGCTTATAAAAATAATTATGAAAACGTAAAATTTTTATTCCGAAACCTAGATAAAGCCGGTGGATAGGAAAATCAGATTATATGTAATACGGGGATAAACTCTTTCAAAGCCAAAGCCGAGGTGGTGAAAATGATATTTTATAATATACTACGGGGCTAAATACGAGAGTTTAGAAAATAAAAAAGATGAAAGTGACAATTTAAAAAGTTTTTAAAGTTGAAGGGGATAAAAATGTAATTATGAAAATCAGAGTGTACAAAGTGTTCTTTTATAAACTAAAAGGAAAAAAAATGATAGAAATAAAGAGTATGAGGAGTATTAAAAGAAAAGTCGGGCCACCGACTTTTCTTTTTAGAATAGATATAATTTGTTAATGACTTGAGAATGGTAACTAATTATTTTTTATATACACATTTGGTCGCTTTTATTGTGTATATTATATATCGTTACACTCAATTTGTTTATTCAAAAGACAATATTATAATGGGGTATATTGCATGTTACATGTTTATTTGGCATATGTGACAATAAGGGGTTGGTTGATATGTCTATTATTGGGTCTGGTAAAATAATGAGTTAGTGTAACATTTTGAATTTCAAAACAAATTTTTCATTTTTAATTCACCAAACAATATTCATAAATCCAAATCATCACATAATTATAGTTCATTATCAAAACAATATCAGAGTATCCCAAAATTCACAAGACATCATAAGCCAGCGAATGGGTACAATTATGTCTCCGCCTTCCCGAAATCTACAAAGTACCTGAAACACATTTAAATCAACACTGTAAGCACGAAGCTTAGTGAGTTCCCCAAAATATCACATACACAAATAATTAGCCTCTCATGACTATATTTCAATAAGGACCCTCCGGTCATGTGTTTAGTGAAGACCCTCCAGTCTCACGTCTCGGTATGGACCCTCCGGTCATAACTTAATTTATACACAGAATAATATAATAGCATAAGTCACAAATACAGAATGCATAATAACACATATCTCAGTATAAGCAACTAAGACTACCCCCATTGGTAGTTTTGGACGAGCGGCTCGTCCAATTTTTATTAAAAAAGAAATGAAAATTACATAAATACCTGCGGCCTAGGCCACACACACGATCCAAGTTCACAAAGGGTTGCTAACTTATTTTGATGTCACGTGCATATTATTAAAAGATAGATATATATTACTTTTTGATAAAAACTATTATCATTAAAAAAACCAATTTTATCTCAATAAAAAAATAAAAAGAAAATACTAAAATTCATGATTTTTTGTTCTCTATAAATAGAGTATAATATTGATATAGTTCCAATTTATTTTTATTATATATATTTTTTAAAATAAAACTAGGTTTGGGTTGGATTGTTAATGAGTATGAATAGTTGAATTTGGTTGAGTTGTATAGGTGGAAGAAAGAGAAATTAGTTTTTTATATAAAAAGTAGGTTGGGTTGGGTTGCTAATGGGGGTAGTCTAAGACCCTCCGGTCAATAATACGAATAAGACCCTCCGGTCAATAACACAAATAAGACCCTCCGGTCAATAACACAAATAAGACCCTCCGGTCAATAACACAAATAAGACCCTCCAGTCACACATAAATTACCACACAGGTAAGTATAGTGAGAAGACTCACCTCGACAGCTAATCCCACGAAAATATCTCTGACTGCAGATCCACTAAGATCCCCGCGCTATTAGACAAATAACACCCAATTAACAATTGGGCTCCAACCCATATCCAATAATCCACAAGTAGGGGATAAAAGACCATTTTACCCTTCACCTA